CTGTGACCCCATTTGGGGTTTTCTTGGCAAAGATACTGGACTGGTTTGCCATTTCCTTCTCCAGCTCATTTTACAGATGAGGAAACTGAGGCAGAGTAGTTAAGTGACTTGCCCAGGGTCACCCAGTTAGTTAGAGTCTGAGGTCAGATTTGAACCCAGACCTTTCTGTCTTTTTGACTCCAGACCTGTGCTCTATCCACTGTGCCACCACCTAACTGTGACCAAGTTTAGCAGGGGATTTTGCTAAGTGCTGTGCAGAACTCCAGGTAAACTCTCCCTAATGCATCCCCCTCCCCACTAGCCTGGTAACCCCAGAAGAGGGCTATGTGCCCCAGGCTTTGTCTCCTCCAAATTCAGAGACAGGAGGCACATTACATACTTCTCAAAAAGTGAACGAATCCCCATGAATCTGCCCGTGGACAGCAATGCCATTCCGATTATGTTCCAGCCACGGACAGTGTGCACTGCTCTTTGTAATTTACATAGAATACACCCCCACAGAGCAGAAGGAAGCCTGGACCTTGTCCATCTCCACACCCCACTTTGCAGGTGAGGAAACCGAGGCCTGAAGGGACTTGCCTGAGATCCCAGATGGATGAAGGGGAAGAACAGGATTTGAACCCAGGCCCTCTGAGAACCAGTTCAGTGATCTTCCCAGCAGCCCTGCGGCCTTTCTCTTCTAGGGGACAAATGTGCACTTTCATATTTAAGCACTTAGTGTCTGCGGAGCTAAAATGAGATGTCCTCCCAGGGAGGGTTCTTCACGCTTTGACAGTGAACGATTAATAAATGAACCCGGCGGGACGTTAATGAAGTGGTAAGCTCTGTTCCAAGAAATGTCTCCGTGTGATTTTCTCGGCTTGCAAGTTTCTCTGCATGTGTGGTGTGACCTAACGCATGTGGGCTGCAGAGCCTGTGGAGGTGGCAGCGAGATGGAGCTTCCCTGGTGGACAGGCAACCCCCACACCCCAACCCCTACCCTGCCCTCGGTGCCCTAGGCCGCTGCCTTTGCAATGGGTCAATGCCTAGGAGGACGTGGGCCGAAGCAGCTTCCCCCAGGGTCCAGGTGCCCTGGTAGCTGAGCTAGCCCCCTGTCGCTTCCTTCAAGAAAGGGAAAAGGTTTCTTCTTTTCCTGAAGAGAATCTGTTCTCTGTCTATTGTTCACCCAAGCAGGCACTGAGGCAGACCTGTGGCTCTGGGGGGTGGGCACACTTAATGCCTACTGGGGAGGGCCTTGAATGCCAAGATTAGGAGTTTGGGCTTTTTTCAGAAGGCAGTAGGAAACCCCCAAAGGTGGTTGGGCAGAGAAGTAACGAGTCTCAGTTGTTCCTTAGGAAGTTTATTTCATTAGCTGTGGAGTACTCATTAGAGAAGAGAAAGGTCAGAGGTAGGAGATTCCAAGTGGAGTAGGGGTGCCCGATCCTTGACTCATTCTTCCCCCTACACTAGGCACAGGCACGTGCCCTGGAGAGCATACCTGAGACCGCAAGCATGGCTGTAACTAGGGCAGAGCAACAGAGCTTTGTACCAGGGCAAAGAATTCAGAGGCCCACTGATAACATGTAGCAGAGAAAGCCCAGAGCTCAGTACCAAGAATTCGTTTTCAGGAGAAGCGGGACAGATGGCAGTTCCACAGTGAGTATAGAAGTGGCTGAGCTTGGGCAAGACCCCACATCTCCTAACACCAGCCAGAGCCTGCACTGTCCTCCTTCTCAGGTCTGGCCCTGCTCCTGTTCCCTCCCCCAGGCCAGGCAGGGCCCAGGCCTCTCTTCCAGCCTGTCACTCCCCCGATCTGTGTTCCTTGGCAGGTCACCAGGCAGCTGAGGTGGGCGCTAGTGGGGGGCCTGGGGAAATTGGGGACAGAGGGAGGGAGCTGCCAAATGGGGTGGGGCCACGTCAGGCCCTCAGGAAGGAGACCTGGGCTGCCTACCCCAAGCCCAAGGGAGAGGTAGAGACATGGCCACTGCCAGAGACGCTGGGGGCAGCCCTGGGAGGGAGAGACGTAGCTTCACAGACAGAGATCTCTGGGCAGTCCACAGGGATTGCTCCCATGCACATCACTCACTCAAGTCTCCCTCCTGTCCTCGGTGTGCTGAGCCCCTGTGGGCTTTTCCTGCACCGCCCCTCCCCCCCAGCCTGGAATGACCTTTCCCACCAGCTACCCCCATCAGGGTCTTTCGATAATTCTGCCTGGAACCTCTTCCATGAAAATCCTCCCTAATTCCTACCAGCTCCCAGTGGGACTCCTCTCTGGAACACCCAGCCCTTCCTGAGTGCAGCCTGGAGGCCCCAGGGATCTGTGCACACTCCCTTCCCCTGCTAGATCTTGGAGTCCATGAGGGCTCAAACAGCTTCTGAGAAGATTGATCCCTCACAGTCATTTTGGGTTTTTTTGTTTTTGTTTTGGCCAGGCAATGGGGTTACGTGACTTGCCCAGAGTCACACAGCTAGTAAGTGTGATGTGTCTGAGGCTGAATTTGAACTCAGGTCCTCCTGAATCCAGGGCCAGTGCTCTATCCACTGTACTACCTAGCTGCCCCCCTCACAGTCATTTTGAATACCTCTATTCCCTCCCCGACCAGAAAGCCTTCTCCTGGAACAAAGATTTTACAAAGAAAATGGTTAAGCAAGACAGCCTATGCCACACTCCATACCCATAGGCTCCCACCTCTCCAAGGAAGGGAGAGAGACACCTTTTCCAACTCCAGAGAGGGCTTCCTGTTCACCTTTGCCTCCCATTGGTGCCCAGTCATGCCCCAGGCCTGGAGGTCTCCCTCCAGGAACAGTCATTTTTCTTGGGCCTTCACTGTCTGCAATCCCTTCCCAATAGGTTTTCTCAATGGTGTCTGTAAAGAACAGAGCAGAGTAGGAAGTGGGGCTTAAAAAAATCTGCATTTCCCACCTCTTGCCCTGCCCCCAGTCCTACCCTCTGTCCTCTCCTTCTTGAGGGGGCCCCATGCAGAGGAGCCCAGGTGATCCCTAATAGGATATGTATGGGATTAATTGTGGCAGAGAGCTGATTAAGGAGCTGAGACTTCCCACAGAGACTGGGAATGTTCATTAATCAGTGTAGGAAGCATTTGCTTTTTCTGATGTCTGAGAGGCAGACCCCCGCAGAGAAGGAGGCAGGCAGCAGCAATGGGTCTGCAGCCCAGCTCCTGAGGACCTTCTTCCTCCATGAAAGGAATTAATGATCCTTACTCTGCCCACCTCCCAGGGTCATCTGCCAAGGCCACAGAAATGTTAGTCCCCTGGGCCCTTTTCTCCAGCACCCAGCCCTGGCATGGGACCTACTCCCAAAAAAAGGACAAGAAGGGACATATTCCCAGTCACTCTCCCAGCCCTGGTACAGGCTGGCATGGCTGGCATGCTCAGGGCACAGAGCCCAGACTCCTTGGCCTTTCCCTCCCCGGCCTGAGGGGGTGTCCATCCTGTCCCACCACAACCCCACACCTGAAAAGAGCTGATGGATTGTCTTAGGCCTTCTAAGTGGGGCTTCATTACTTCTGCTTAAAATCTCCCCTTCCTCAGCAACCTTGGTGGAAAGGGCTGCAGGAGCCTCCCAAGGAACCCTACCCACTCTGGGAGATTCCTGGACAGGCACATGATGGGTCTGGGCAAAGGGAGCCAGGAGAAACAGGAGGGATGCTGTGCTCAGAGCCTGCTGTGGACTACCTGAGTATAAATTCAGCAGTCAACACCCTGGCATGAAGAAGCAAGGGGAATGGAGCGGACATTCTTCAGTGGAAGGCTGGACACTCTCTTGTCAGGGGTATCAGTCAGCAGCATAGGCGCCTCAGCGGCCCCCACATGGAAACTCTGGGGCACTGAGGAGGTGGGAAGAAGAAGGGGCCCATACAGAGGGCAGTCACCTTCCCCCCCAGCAGGGCCTCTCTTTACAGCAGCCAGCAGGGGGTGCCATCCAGCCCCACCCAAAGAACCCCAATGATGGGGAGATCATTGTGCTTCCCACCTCTAAATCCTGAGCTCAGCTCTGGCTGTGGGGGCAGCAATGGACATTGTGGGAAGCTCCTCTCTCCCTCAAGACACAGGGCTGCCCACCCCCCATTACTTTATATTCTCCATGGGTAAAATGTCAGCTCGTGGAAGGCAAGGACTGTTGGGTCACTTTTATCTTTTACTAAGTGCTTATAGAAGTCAAGGAAGAAACAGATATTTTGATGAACCAGAGCGGAAATCCTGACGTATGGGACTCTAATGACTCAAGGGAGTAGGGTAGGGGTATCTCAGTTCAACTCAGTTCAACCCAACAGACATTTGTTAAGCCCCTACTATGTGCCAGCCACACTCTGGTTTTTCCCTACTATGTAAGAGGCTGGATGGTATATTAGCTAGAGAACTGGACTTTAAGTCAGTAAAACTTGGGTTTAAGTCCCAGACTGTGTGACCCCGGGCAAGTCACCTAACCCCCAGCACTCCAGGAAACTCCCCACAACTTTAAGTTGACCTACATGGACAGAAGGAGGCCTTCACAGCATTTCCTCCCAACATGGTGAGAGAGACCACCCAGTCCAACCATGTGGGAACAAGATTCCCCCCTAAACATCCCCGAGCAGTGGCCATGTCCAGCCTCTGCTCTATGCCCTCCAATGATGGGGAGCTCACAACTTCCCAAGGCAATCCAAGCCATGCTGGAAAGTGCTCCCATTGTTAGAAAGGTTTTCCTGACATTCAGCCCAAATCTTCCTCTTGTCAAAAAAGCCCAAAGGAGAACATCCTCCTCTCGGTGCCCCCCTGCCCCCTCCCTCCCTCCAGCTCAGGGCAGAGCCCAATCACACATCTGCCAGAGGGGGAGGGGCCTGCCATTGGCCCCTGTGCGGGGCTCTAAGACTACTAGCGGAGCCACCCACGTTCTGATGAGTGCCAAAGGACTGACTGTGAGCACAGAGGTCCTTCCTGTGGGAAGGATGGGCAGCACGCTCCCGTTCCCAGGGGCCCCAGGAGGGTTGGCCCAGGCCTGATTGGCTGCAGGTGAGGTCATCGCATGCCTGGGTCTCCAGTTTGGCTGGATTCCAGAACACCTGGCCCAGCATTCCTAAGCCCAGGGCCCTGCATGAGCTCATTCTGATGACGAATAGAATCCCTGATCTTCCCATCATCCCAGCCCCATCCTGAGCCCTGAAAGAAATGGAAACTTTCCTGGCAAGAAAGAGCCTGGGGTCCCATCCTGACTCTGACACTTCCTGCTGCCTCTGTAACCTTGGCAAGGCACTCTATCTGTTGGGGCCTCAGTTTCCTCATCTGTAAAATGAAAGCTGGAGGGTCTCCAGCTAAACCACCCTCCATGATCCTGTGGTCCCCTAGCTTGGGGGGTCCTGCACCTGGTGCCAACTCTTCCACCCCTGCAGTGAGGACAGCAATTACGGTAGGTCGGCAGAGACCCGGGGGCCCAGAGGGAGGTAGGGTATGATCCAAAGTCCTGCCTTTTCAGTGTTTGGCCAATTGGCTTTTACCTTCCCCCGTGCCCACCCCCGTCTTCTGACGTGGCGCTGACAGCGTATGCCCCATTCTGCCCCCACAGTCCACCACCTTGGTACTGAGAGGAAGGAGGAGAGTTCTTGTCACCCTTTCCCATTTGGCCATCGTATCCAGTGCTTGGCCGTGACAAAGGGCTCCTCGGTGGAAATGACCCAGACAAGAGGCATTGCCATCTGCATCGCCGCTGCCTGAGGAGACTCCCCTCGACCTGAAGCTGAAACCCCCACTATGGTTTGGCTCCCCCACCAAGCTCCTTGTGTGCAGGGATTGTTTCGGTTTAGGCAGCTGGGGGTGGGGTGGACAGTGCTGCACCTGGAGTCCATAAGAAGACCTGAGTTCAAATTCAGCTTCGTGGTCTACCTTAGTTTCCTCACCCGTAAAATGGAGGAAAAATAGCCCCTGGGTCCTAGGGTTCTGGATGGCAAATGCTCTGTAAACCTTAAAGCGCTGTTGACTCTATTGATCGTTACTGTTCTTCTCTTCTGTCTTGGCACACAGCAGTCATCCAATAAATACTCACTGAGCCATGGATTGCTTGGTTCATCATGCCACTCAGACTCCGCCATTTCAAAGATAAGGAAACTGAGGCTCAGAGCAGGGAGGAACCATTGTTTCTAGTGAGAAATCCTGGAGTCCTTGGAAGCCCGTTGTCTCCTAACTCCAGCCCTTCCCTTCCCTACCAGCCTGGCAAGTGGGTCTGCCCAGCTGAGCCGGACCCCCAGAGCTCGGAGCAGCATCAAGCTGGGAAGCAGGGCCAGGGGTGCTCCCAGCAGGGCTTCCCAGAACAAGGGAGAGGGCCATTTTCAGTGCGGGGGGAAAGCCACCACCCAGAGAAGGCATGGCCTCGCACCCAGGGACTACACTCTAAGCTGCCTGGCATTTCACTTTCTCTGGAATCACAAAAAAGCCTGCGTAACCTTTAGCAGAGATTATTCATGGTTTAAATATAGTGCTCGTTGGGCGAGGCTGGCATTAATGGGGAACATCGAACAGCTTCCCTGGCGGGGGAGGCAGCAGGGCTGGGGGTGCTGGCTCTGTGGAGCGTGCAGGGCCACGGGGTCTGGGCTGCTCCTGCCCTACTCTCTGACCAGTGTGGTAGGGCCTGACCCAGGAGCCACCCAGGCTAGGTTGTCCAACCAGGAAAGCTGCTATAACTTCCAAGACAATGAAGCCTGGTGTGGGGAGCAGGCGCTAGCGCTAGGTTTGGAATCTGAAGATCCGGGTTTGAATCCCAGCTCTGATACTTAGGAAAGGGGCAGTCCCTGAGTCTGTTCCCTTAACTGAGACTCCAGCTCTCTCACACTCACCTACTCCGGAAGTGTTAGACATCGGTCAGTCGATCAGCACGGTTATTTATTTCTAAAGTACCTACTATGTGCTAGGTACTATACTAAGCACTGGGCATCCAAAGAAAGGCCAACCTGGTCTCTGCCTTCAGAAAGCTCACAGTCTAATGGGGGAGATAACATGTCAGTAAGTAGATATACAGACTGGGGGCAGGGAGGCATGCTCAGAGGAAAGGTGCTAGCATTTGTGGGGCTGCAAGAGGGCCTTCTGCAGAAGGCTAGATGTGAGTGGATGGTGGTCTTCTCCTCAAAGACCCCATGGATGCAGAGGAAAAAAGCCAGCCCCCTTCCCTGCCTCTGGTGCAGGCTCAGAGTCCCCTCCACAAAGCTGACTCCAGGGTGAGCAGGCTTGGCTTTGAAAGACCTCCAGAGCAGGGACCAACCTCTGGCCAGCCAATTGCCAGCTCTCCTTCCAATTCAGAGGACGTTCTCACCCTTTGTAGGGAGATCGAAGGCATGGACCACATCTCTTATCATTTGAATGTCTGCTGACCTGTAACCTTTGCTTTCTGGGACTAGAGTGAGGCAGCTAGCTGGTGGGAGGGAGGGAAATCAATGGGTCAAACACGGACTACTTTGATCAGCAGCACGACCTTGGCCAAATCACTGCCCTTCTCTTGGCTTCAGTTTTCTGTCCTACAAAATGATGGGGTTGAAGAGGATCCCCGAGTTCCCAACCAGCTCTGATTAGAACTCCACCATTCTGGTCACACCCAATTAAATGCTTACCATGTAGCAGGTGGGGCATATGGGCTGTTCAGGGAGGACTAGCGAGTGGTGTGAGGGCTTGCTGAGCCCTTTTCAGGGCTCTCATCCCCCTTTGGTGTCCACCCACACCAATGCTCACTTGTGGCTCCAAAACACTGTAGCATTTCCACAGATGGGCTAAACCCGGCTGAGAGTAACTGACAGGCCTCCAAACCGTCAGTGAGTTAAGGGGGTGTCTACTCCAAGCATGTGAAGACTTTCTCTGGCGGAATGGGCAGATGAGAACAATTTGTTCCCCTGGCCACAAAGACGGCTGAAGCAGCAGAGCACTTACAGCCTGCTCAGGTCAGCCAGTCATCCTGAATGTTGACCTCCCGCTGGATCTGGTGACTCAGGAGGAGAGAGTGAGGCTGACAACTTTGTGCAGCTCTGCCTCACTTAAATCCAATGTATGTTCAAGTCAGGACATCTCAGGTCATGTCATTGGTCCTCTTTTGAAAGGAAGGACAAACAACCACAATGTAGCAGGCACATAGGATACAAAAAAGATACAAAATAATCCTTGTTCTCAAGGTGCTTACAAACAGGGGGACCATTTCAAATATTACATATTAGACACATTGTGTTTTGTGTATCATAGTATCTAATGTATGTGTTATATATGTACATATGTAATATATACTTTTCAAGCTTCTTTTTAGATGAGAAAGACTTGCAGAATGTGGGATGTTTGCTGGGACTTGAAGGAGGGAACAAAAAGAAGGAAGGAGGGATAGCATTCCAGGTCAGAGAAGATGCCCAGGGCCAGGAGATAGAGTGTTTGGGGTGAGGAACGGCCAGGAGGTAGGGTCACTGGATCCTGGAGTATGGGGAGGGCTGGGGAGGGGGCAAGATGTAAGAAGACTGAAGTTTATTGAGTAGGAAGTAACATGGTCGGAGCTGCGCTTTAGGAAAATCACTTTGGTGGCTGAACAGAAGATGAACGGAGTGGGGAGCCACGAGGCAGATAACGTGTCCAGTCCCCTTCCCCCCCCTCCCCCGCAGCTACTGCGATAGTGCTTGTATGACACGATCAGGGTCTGCATCAGGGAGGGGGCTGTGTCAGATGAGAGGAGGGGGCCATGTGTAAGACAAGTATGGCAAAAGCAGAAATAACAGGCTGCCCACTGGATAAGGTCAGGCTGGAGAGGGGAACACAGAGTAATCAGAGATGACACCTAGGTTTGGGGACCAATCACTGGTACCCTTAAAAGTAATGGTAAGTTTGAAGAGAGGGAAGATGGGGGGAAAATCATGACTTCCATTTGGGACATGTTGAGTTTAAGATGTCTACTGGACACCCAGTTGGAGATGTCTGAAGGGCATTTGGAGAGTAAGGCTAGATAAGTAGATGTGGGAATCATTTGCATGGAAGGGATAATTGAACTCATGAGAGTTAATAAGACCATCTAGTGAGCTTATGGAGAGGGAGTAGAAAAAAAGAAGGGAGGACAGAGTCTTGGGGACACCCATTTCTACTGGGCACAAATTAAGTGGAAATCTAGTAGACTGAGACTGAGAAGAAGTGGTAGCAGAGGTAGAAAAACCACAAAGCAGGAGAATGAGGGATACAATTTTAGGATAAAAAGAAATTCCTCCATCATTCACCCATCCATCCATCCATTCATCCATCCATATGTCCATCTATCCATCCACAATCCATCCATCCATTCATCCATCCACATGTCTGTCTATCCATTCATTCATACTCAAACAATCACTTAACTGTCAGATACCTCTGCTGTTCCATTCAGTGTGTCTGATCTGGAGGGAGGCTGGGAAGGAGGATCAGGGCTGTCACCGCCACTTTACAATCCCCTGTCAAGTATTCATGGGAGGACATGAAGCAGAGCAGCGCTGGATGCAAAGGTGCAAATGGATTATAATCTCCACCATCTGAGGAGAGAATCCATGTGGATGAAGTCATGGATTCCGCTCCTGGAATACTTGAAGAAGGTATTCCAGTGATTTGATGGACTAAGGCTTCTGACTGAACTGGGCCTCTGAGGGATAGGCCTTAGTAAAAATAGATATTTAGCTTCCTGGCTCTCACTTTTCCTTTGATAGGACAAGTTATTGTTGAAATTGAGAAGGCAAGGCAGCTGAACTGTGGGGGCTGGGAAGCAGCAGCTGCTGCCAATAGTTCCAATGAGGACACCAGCTTTTCTCTCCAACTCAGAAGCTGCCTAAGTGGCAGATCAAAACAGAGAAACAGACCCTTTCCATTAGGCTTAGCCTGACACAATTTCTTCCCAACAACCCTAAAGTTTAGGTATTGCTGAGAAGCTCAACCACTATCTCTGTTTTACAGATGGAGTGACTGAGCCTCAGAAAGGCCAAGTCACCTGCCCAAGGTCACACAGCTGCAAAGCAGGTTAGCAAGCCTTTCCTGAGCTCAGGGCAGAGGTGGCCCAGGGAGGGTGGGAAAGAGGGGGAAGTATAGAACAGGCCTAGGGAGCCATGTAATCAGGGGTACTAAGTGGGCAGGAGGGGGTAAGGCTATCTGTCTCCATGACAGAGGACTCAGGGAGGGGCCACTCTAGAGAGGCTACATGGCAAAAGAACTGGGGAGCCATTGAAGGTCTGGGGTAGATGAAGGTTGGGTGACCATGGATTCCCAAGGCAGCTGAGCTGTCCATAGAGACAATGCCCCCTCTCTTCTAGCTGCTCAGTGGAAAGTGCCTGGGTGGGCTCAGGTCACATTTTCAGAACCTGGGAAGGGCCTGGCCATTTTCCACTGAGAAAAGTGAGGGGTGTCTGGGCAAGTAAAGGTGAGCAAATATGGGGCTGTTTCCAAGGATCCTTGGGAACGGCATTGTGCAGAGGAAAGACCCCCAACTCTAATTTGTGGCTCTAACCCCCAACTACTTATCTAACCTAGAGCAAGTCCCTTCCCTGCTCTGGGTTGCCTCAGTTTCCCCTTCCTCTTTGTGAATGAACTAGATGGTCTCTGAGGTACCTCTCAGTTCTGACATTTCATTACAAATCTCAAGATCTCGACCTCCCCTCGGTTCAAGGTCTTGCTCTGCTGGATTCCCCCTGACTCCAATGGTTTCTTAAAGGCCGCCATTGGGGATAATGTCTAAGCTTTCTGGGCTAAGCAAGTCTATTTCAATGAAAATATGAGATTCCTTTTCTCTTGATTAGGAACTCACAGGAGCTCTATCCTCATTTTATGCTCCCGTTTTTCAGAGGAGAAGACTGAGGTCCAGTAAGGACAAGGGACTTGCTTATGATCACACAGCTGGTAAGCAGATCCAGACATATAAACCTGCTTCTCCAGTGCCATGGAGAGACCCTAGACTAATAGAGAGAAGCCCCAGAGGCCAGGACCTACCTGTAAGGCCTTCCAAGAGGTTGGCCAAAAAGAATTGGAAATGGAGGGGATGCCCATCAGTTAGGGAATGGCTGAACAAGCTGTGGTATATGAATGTAG